CCGCTCACCTCTTCCTGACCTTTATATAGTAATAGAAAGAATGTCGAACAACGGATCAGAATTGACCGAGCCAACGATCACCTCCACCTCCACCACTCCCAATTCATCAAATGTTTCGTCCTCCACAGCCGCCACCACCACCACCAATGATCCGATTAATGATAGCAACAACATCACCAACACCAATACCACCGCAACCATCACCACCGTAAATAACAAGAATTCGTCTCCTCCTCCCTCCTCCTCGCCAACAACTCCTACCCCTTTGGCAACCAGTCTCGAGTCGTTAAGACTTGACACTTCGTCACACCCGTCGTTCACGTCTCAACCTAATAACGAAAGTGATGAGGATGAAACCGACGAGCTATTGCCCTCTCCGAGGTCACGACAGAAACAGCAACATCAGATGAGAGACCAAGAAAGATACAACTCTGCTGATCATTACCAGTCGCCGCCAATAGCGATGACCTCCTCCTCGCCCCTCCTGCAAACCCTCGATAATGCTCGTTCGGCTGCCAGCATCTCAAACTTGATCAATCACGACGAGGAACATCCCCACAACTCCTCCTCACCAACCGCCACAAATTCTCCGACATCACAGGTTAGCAGCAGATCAATCTCACCCGCTCCGGAGACACCGAGGAACAATGTGAATAACACCGGTGTCGTAAACGAACCGAGATTCATCAACATCGAATTCCACAATACCAATAATGCCGATTTTGCAGCCGCAGCATCGAACTCCAAGAAGAGGAGGAAGGGTGGCCACGATCAAGACGATGACGGAGGCAGCAAGAGCAGCCGCCGTGAATCTGATCCTTCAAAGAGGCAAAGACGCGGTGCTCCCAAGAACTCCCTTGCTACATCGAATGCGGCCAACAACACCGGTTCCGGAATGATGGTGATTGACGAGAATGATGAACCCACCACCCCCAACGGTGGCTCCATGCCTTCGTCACCGGTGCCATCGTCGGGATTCGATGAAATGATGTTGGATGATCAAGGTTCCGACGACTTTTCTGGCGCCAATTCACCGACGAGCGCAAGCGGGGGGGTCACATTTGCCACGAAACAGAATCGCAAGAAGCCGTATATCCCACGACCACCGAACTCCTTCATATTATACCGGCAACACCACCACCCGCTAATCCTCAATCAGCACCCTGGTATCAATAACTCGGAAATTTCTCGTATAATCGCCGATCATTGGAGAAAGTTATCCGATCAGGAAAGAGACGAGTGGAAACGTAAAGCCGAAGAGGCAAAAGAGAAACACATGAAGGCTTGGCCGGATTATAAGTACCAGCCGAGGAGGAGAGTTGTCGGTCCGACGTTCAAGAAACCGTTGAAAGGTCCCGGCGCGCCCACCACCTCGAATGGCAGTGGTTCCACGGTTAAATCGGACAATGTCGGGGATTTTGAATTGTCCACGGGTTCCGCGTCGCGTCGTCACATGGGTCGTGATAATCATGTGAGTAGCTTTGTGCTGGAAATGCCGAGGAAAGCGAGTGCGGACAGGGAAGCTCCGTCGCGCAACGATTTGAATTCGTCGCAGCGTGACATGACCGATGGAAAATTCCTCATCGCCGAACGCAGTTCGAAAGAATTGAACACTTGTAAAATAGGTGACCGC